TTGTTAGAAAACATGTTCCAAACCACTTGTGTTCTACAAAACTGTCTGAGTAGTACTTTTACTCAGTTCAGTAATCAGACCTGTACTGATTACTCTCAAAAATGAAAACAGAAAATAAATGTAAATTAAGTGAGACTTGAGTATAGCTCATACTATAGTAGAGGAAGCCATGATATGAGTGTTTCTTGTTGGGTGTGGTGGTGCATGCGTTCAATGCTAACATTCAGATATCCGTGAGTTCCAGGTCAGCCAGGGCTACATACTGAAACCCAGAAAAAAGTGAGAAGGAAAAGGGGGAGGAGAGGCTGAGAAAAGGAGGAAGAGGGTTTCTAGTATCTGTCTTTTACTAAAATAAATACCTATATCTGAATCAATGCTATTTCTCTAAGAGAACTATCTTGTTCTCATTAACTTACAAGTTTAAACCTGAATTCCAGGTGTCAGCATTAAATAAAAGCAATCTGAAATCTTTTTAAAATTTTATAATTTAATTTAATTTTACATATCAGCCACGGATTCCCCTGTCCTCCCTCCTCCCAATCCACCCCCCATTCCCATCTCCTCCAGGGCAAGGACTCCCCTGGGGATTTAGCTCAGCCTGGTAGATTCAGTGGAGGCAGGTCCAGTCCCCTCCTCCCTTCACCCAAGTTGAGCAAAGTGTCCCAGCATAGGCCCCAGGCTCCAAAAAGCCTGCTCATGCACTAAGGACAGGTCCCGGTCCCACTGCCTGGGGGCCTCCCAAACAGTTCAAGCTAATCGACTGTCTCACTTATCCAGAGGGCCTGATCCAGCTGGGGGCTCCTCAGCTATTGGTTCATAGTTTATGTGTTTCCACTAGTTTGGTTATTTGTCCCTGTGCTTTTTCCAATCATGGTCTCAACATCTCTCGCTCGTACAATCCCTCCTATTTCTCACCGGTTTACATATTTGAAATATGAGCCACAAATGGCAATTATATAAAGAACATAAGCAAGGCAGACAAGGGAGAGGGGCAGGGTAGATGTGTAGTAAAGGTAAGGGGCACAATAAGGACAATACTAAGCAAGAGACACCACATCCCGGGAAGAGACTAGGAGAAGCAAGGTAATTCTTGCTGGTTCTCTGCAGACCTATACATCACTACCTGTAAAACTGAGGCTACATTTAAAGGTCAAGAGTGTTTGTTGTTACTGCTAACTACTAACCACCAGGTTCTCAAAGATAACAGTATTTCTATCCAGAAAAACTCCCATATGTTCAAAAAATAAAAGTAACATAAATTTACTCTTCTTTTCAAAACTGCTCTAGGCTGCTGTGGTAGTGTGCATTTCCTAGTCAGCTTGTCAGAATCCACAGAAGCTCACTGTGGTTTTTTTTTTTTTTTAGTAGGAACATGTTGCAAAATATAAATTGGGAGGATAAAAGGTGTCTGAAGGTTTGACTGATTCACCTTGGGCTACATACTCCCATTTCATCAGATATTTTTTAAAAATAAATAAGTAACTTTGAAAATTTCATACCTGAACACTGAATAAAACTATTGAATTTATTATATTATATGCCATGGTAACATACTGCATATTTTGTAATGCTTCGTACGTTTCTTAGTGTACTGCAAGTATAAGGACATACAGCTGCCTTTTCCTTTTGTTTTCACACCCGCCATATTTTATCTACTATATATTTTTAAAATGTCTTGACTTCAAAATGGAAACTAGTTATGCTTTTATTTCTACAGGAAATGAGAGGCTATGGATTCATTTCAGGTTGATATAGATTAGGTTTGATTGGGGAAGACACCCTGAAAATCCTACCTATAGACATAAAGAAATAAAACTAGAAAAACTACAAAACATGTAACATATATTTTCCCTGCTCAAACATAAAACAAAGAAACATCTTTGGCTAATTTCTGTATAACACATAGTCAATACTTTCATTAATACAAAAATGTATGTTAACTTTAAAAATTTACGTATTTTCAGAACAAGGAGACCAAACACCAATGAAAACGGATGGCCCAGGTGATCCAGCATCTCAAAATGCCCCTGTTACAGTCTCCTCAAAATTCTGCATCCAAAACAGCTTTAAGGCTGCTGTCTGAGATGGTCCAACCTCACAAACTACTCCAGTCAAGACTTAAGGATTATCCTGATTTTTTCAAGGTTCCCCCAAAGATACCAGTACCTACAAACAACAAGAAGTAGTCTAGAGAATGATGCCCACATTCCCAAGAGATGGGGTATGGGTGGGTTTGGTTATTCAATGGATTATGAATGTTTGTCATTGTTTTGGGGGTGGTGGTTACAAGTTGTTATTGGTCATAGTCAAAAAAAAAGTTAAACAAAAGTTAAATTCAAAGATATCTTTCTAAAGGAAAAAAGGATATGATGTTGGAATGATAGGGAAAAAGGGTAGATTATTGAATTTATTTTAATCCAAAAAACAACTATTAACCTCAAAATATTTTACATTGATACATTTTGGTTTATTGATACAAATTTAAAGTTGATTTTATCATACGGCATGTATGTTTCTCTTCTTGTTTGGGATATTTTGTTTATGGAGCTCATTTAAAAATATAATGTATAATTAAAAAATACAGATTAATAGTCATTTATAATAATCAAATTTACAGTCATATTAGGCATATTTTCAATGTTAAACAGATATATTTAGATACACTTCAAAGACTTATAGAATATGGCATTTAATATGTTTAATAACCTAAGGTTTTTCATGACAGTGAGACACGTCTGCTCCTAGCAGCACCAATTTACTTCAAAAGAAGATGATGGGCATGGAAGAAATTCCATATGGAGTTTACTTTCTTTATGGCAAAAGCTAGCCATCTGGGCAAAGAAACTGCCCTTGCCTTAATTGCTGACAGTATACTGTCCAAACTGGACCAGCATGATACAAAAGAAAGTGACTACCAAACTTTGCTAAGACAAGGTAGGACAGTCCTTCAAAATTCCCTGCTTCTCAAAAATGTCAGTCAGATATACAAGGCCTGTAGGCCAAAGTTGGATACCCCAACATTACAGAAGAATTTTGGGTGCCTGTCCAGGCAGCCAGATGCCCCTGTTGTTAGGTAACATTACACCCTTTTGGAGTCTTTGATGGAATTAAAGACTTAATAATTAGACTTAAAGTTTTCTTTAGTTATGATAAAAGGTAAATTAGATATAAAACTTTAAACTCACAAAGATAAGTGATAGAATATTTTCTCTAATTTTGCTAAATACAAATGAACTGGATATTGTAACTGTAATTCTTACTTGATAACTGTTTTTGTTGTATATAATTTTACTATGTTAAAGTTAAAGCCTTCCTTTTTAATTAGACACAAAGGGGGAAATGCTGTGAAATAATCCTTCTGTACACTGTGAAGGTGTGTTATAATCACTGTTAATAAAAAGCTGATTGGTCTATGGCTAGAGAGGATTTACCGGACAGAGAAAATGCTTGGGAAAAGAAGGGCAGAGTCAGAGGAGATGCCATGAGATGCAGAACAAGCAAGAACAGAAGTATGTACATGAGGTAAACAAGCCTGAGCTATCTGCTAAGCATTTGTAATTAATAATAAATCTCTGTGTGGTTATTTGGAAACTGGATGGTGGGACAGAAAACTCCACTTACAATATCCATTGCCCCTTCCCTACAAGTCCAACTTTCTGTCCTTTTCTTGTTTTTTTTTTTTTTTAAAAAATGAAGTACAGTTGGTACTGCCCTTATATTCTTGGATAAGTAGCCTTCTACTGGAGCATGGTGAGTCCACCATGTGCCATACCTTTAAAGAAAACTGTGTGTTTGAGACAGCATCTCATTGTGTAGCCTTGGCTGGCCTTGAACTCAGAGATATACCTTTGCTTCTGATTCCTAAATGCTGGGATTAAAGGCATGCACCACCATGCCCAACTTCCAATATGTTTTTTTAACACCTCTATTAACAATTGGGTCCTGAAGATACTCCGATTTGAATGCATTTAATGTTTCACTGCTTCACATCTTCTTTTATGCCGAATAGTATACCCACTGTATGAGAATGGTTAGAGTATTATGCCTGCAGTACTGCTTCTTGCTTAGGTTTCTTTAGGTATTAATGGTTTTTGGTGCTACCATATGAATCTTAAAATTTTTTTTCTAGTTCTGCAAAGGGTTTCTCTTGGTATTAAAATGACCCACTGTTACAGTGAAGGTTAAATCTCTTTTATGTGTAAGACTGTTTCTTATAAAATTGGGTACTTCAACAGTTAGAGGCATAAACTTATAAACAAATGTCCCCTTGATCAATGTGGTAGTCTGAATGTAATTGGCCCCAATAATCTCATAGGGAGTGGCACTATTAAGAGGTGTGTGGCTTTGTTCAAGTGGGTATGGCCTTATTGGAGGAAGTATGTTACTGTGGGGGGCAAGCTTTGAAGTTTCCTATGCTCAAGATACCTCCCAGTGTCTCAGTCCACTTTCTGTTGCCTTCTGATCAAAATGTAGCCAGCATCATTTCTGCCTGCACTCTGCCATGCTTCCTGCCATAATGATAATGGACTAAACCTCTGAAACTGTAAGCTGCCACCTCAGTCAAATGCTTTCCTTTTAAGAGTTGCCATGGTCATGGTGTCTCTTCATAGCAATAGAAATCCTAACAAAGACTATCAATATGCAGTAGTTTTTACCAACATACATGTCTACCCATGCTTGTTCTTGGATTCTGCTTACTTTCATCCTTCCATTCTATTTATGTCTTCAAAGGAGAAGTGAATTTCTTACAGGCAGCATTTTGTTGGATCATGCTATTAGCTAAGCAAGTCTGTGTTTTTAGTAAAGAATGAAGATTACTTACATTCAGGGTTACTGGTGAAAGCTATGGTCTTTCCTTCTATTTATTTTCTTCAGATAGTTCTGAATATTTTGTTCATTTCTTCCTTTTTTACCTTGTTAACTTAATGGCTTATTGTATTGGCAATTTTTCCCCTACTTTTCATTGACATATCTATTAGTGGAATTTATTCATACTTTTATTTTTAATGGAATGTTTCGAGAGTCTGTATTTTATCCTTGTGCAAGGGTCATACTAATTTTCTCTGTATTGTTCCAGTTTTAGCAAACACACATGCTCTTTCAAAAACTTGTCTTTGTGCACATATGGCCCAGTGCACATGTCAGCAGGTCAGATGACAACTTTAACCAAGTGAGTTCCAGGGGCTGAATTCAAGTTGTCAGACTTAGCAGCAAGCACTTTTACCTATGATTTGAAAGTCACAGTCTGAGAGTTTAATATTGTCTGCTTGTTTGCTGTAAGATGGTGCAGGCGCTTGGTATTAAACTTTCTGTGGAAAATGAACCCACTAATGCACAGTGCACTTTAAGTGCTGCCTATATGAATAATACTAAGGTGGGGAAAAAAAGCCCAAGCATGTTCTAAATACATCTGCACAGCTCTAGATCCACCAGCTGATTGATGGAGGACACTATCTACTGCACAGCTCTAAATTATCCAGTTGACCGATGGAGGACACTACCTACTGCGCAGCTCTAGATTAACCAACCAGCTGACTGATGGAGGATGCTATGCACTACACAGTTCTAGATAAACCAGCTGATCAATGGAGGATGCTATGTACTGCACAGCTCTAGATCCACCAACTGACCGATGGAGGATGCCATCTATTGCACAGCTCTAGATTCCCAAATAACTACTCAGTTCTTTTATCCTTTCTATGCACAAATCAATTCTCAGAAGGATTAAAATAATAGCTTGATAAACATATCTATCAAGAATGAAAAGAGGCTGGCATTGTGGAATATTAGTTTAATATGTGTTACATTTGTTTATGTTGTGGAATATTTGTTTAATGATGCAAAGATGTGTTGCATTCTTTTATGTTGCATTTGTTTAACTCTGTAAAGCTATGTTACTGTGCCTGTCTAAAACACCTGATGGTCTAATGAAGAGTTGAACAGCCAATAACTAGGCAGAAGAGGGATGGGTGGGGCTGCCAGGTAGAGAGAATAAATAGGAGGAGAAATCTAGGGAAGAGAGGAGTGAGGAGCAAGAAAAGGAGGCGAGGAGGACAACAGGGGCCAGCCACACAGTAAGAAGGAAAGACAGATACATAGACTAGAGAAAGGTAAAAGCCCAGAGGTAAATGGTAGACAGAATAATTTAAGTTAAGAAAAGGTGGCTAGAAACAAGTCAAGCTAAGGCTGGGCATTCATAAGTAAAATAAGTCTCCATGTATTTATTTGGGAGCTGGGTGGCAGACCCCTAAAGAGTTTAAAAAAAAATCAAACCAACTACAGGCTGGAGAGATGGTTTAGCAGTTAAAAGTATTTGCTGCTCTTCCAGAGGATCTGGGTTTGGGTCTCAGCACCCACATGAGGCAGCTCACAACACCTCTAACTCCAGACCTAAAAATTCTGAAGCTCTGGCTCTGCAAACCTACTCACATGTGACATATACTCAAATAACAAGAAAATAAACATAAATCTTTTTTTTAAAAAATGAAAGGGTTTTCTGAGCTTTGTTTGACTACTGAGAGAGAGGGGATGCTAAGTGAATTCAGGGTAGAGACTACAGCAGCTTTTTAGAATCTCCATGACTTAACTTAGAATTAAAATGACTATAGTCGTTACCCTTAGTACTTTATTATTTTGTGTCCCCTCCTTTCATTCTTTTGTTCTTTCTTGGGGAAAAGAGGCTAACATAAAAGGGTAATGACAAATAGTAGTTAACAAAACCACAGCATAAGAAGGAAAAGAAGACCATTGTGGGATTTGCAAATAAAAACTGTTCCTTCTCCTTAGGTTTGCTTAACCAGCTCAAATGTTCCTAATGAAGAACTGGCAGGCCACCAACTGCAGTTTTACATCTCCCCAATTCATGGCTGCCACTTATCTGTAACAGATGCTCCAAAGTTATAATCATAAATGCTAGAGATGGAAAAGAATATTAGGTCATTTTTCTTGGTTTGATGAGGCCAGGATTGTTCCATAAAACTGGACAATTCCAGTGCTTTACTGAAGAATTTTATGTATAAGTGGGTCACTGCTGTCTTCTTGAGAAAGATGATTTTTCATGCTTGGTACAGAATTACACAAAAGCGTGGCTAGGCCCTTTTCTCATGGCAGTCCCCTCTATTTCTTTGACACTTCATGCTCTCTAGTTACACTGAAAAGCTTTTTTGTTTGCTCAATTATTAATAATTTAATAGATTAAAAGAATTGTTTTTCCTATGAATTATCACCAAGAAAAAAAATTAAAAAGTTTACTATTACTATTACTATTACTGTACAAGAAGCTGTTCTCAATTCTATGTAAGCAATCCACTGATCATTTCCTATGAAAGGCTATCACTTTAAAAATGAGAACAGTTGCTGCCTAAAGAGGCTAAATAACTTGCTGAAGTCACAGAGTTAATGAGTGCCAGAGCCAGAGCTCAAATCCAGGCTCTGTTACTGCTGGGATATGTTCCTACTAGTCATTAAGTACAAAGAAACACATATCATAAGCCTCACATAAATTAACAGCAACAAAGGTCATTCTTAGCAAATTCTCAGAAAAGACACACTACAGCCAGGATGATTGTCCTGACCCAACATGTAGAGAAGAGGAGTCCAGACAGAAAAAGGAAAGGCTCGGACTGTGTGACAGCTGATCTTGGCTGTCGACTTGACTGCAGCTGGAATCAACTAAAACCCAAGTAGCTGGGCACACCTGTGAAGGAGTTTTCTTGAGGGGATCATTTCAGGTGGGAAGACCTGCTTTAAGTCTAGATCTTCTGAGGTTGTAAAACACCCTACTCTGCCACCCCACCCCTTAATCTGGATCATTTGAGGTAAAAGAGAACCACCCGAAATCTAGGCCACACCTTCTGGGGCAGCCTACATAAAGGGCATTGAAGAAGCGGCTTTTTGCTTTTTGGCTCCTTGACCTCTCTCTCCCTCTCACTGGCTCATCTATCCTGCTGCTGAGGTATTTCTTTGCTGGTCTTAGAACCTAATTCCTTGGTGTTCCAGTGTATACCGAAGTCAGCTGACATATATAGCCTCATGAACTGAACGACTATCACATTCTTGGACTTTCTGTTGGGAAACAGTTACTGTTGGACAAGCTGGACAGCCACTCTAATAAATACCCCATAAAAGGAACTAAAAGTTTACTGTCATCAGAACCCTTAGCATGTCATTTACACTGTTTTGTGTACAATTCAACCTGGATTAAGTGCTGTGTTTAATAGAGAATTTCCAAATCATTGTATTTCTTTGCTAAACTTTAGAAATCCCCTTTTTTATTCTCTTTTTCTTTTTTCTTTTGGTTTTTTTTTTTTTTTTTGGAGACAGGATTTCTTTGTATAGTCCTAGCTATCCAATATGGTGATATTTTATTTGTATTAAAATGTTATTTGTATGTTAATAAATAAAGTTGCCCGGGGGTCAGAGCTATTAGCAAGCCATAGGAATCCAGGGCAGTGGTAGCGTACGCTTGTAATTCCAGCACTTGGTAGGCAGAGCTGGGTAAGTCTCTGTGTGTTCAGGGATACAGCCATTATTGGATACACATGCTTTTAATCTTAATACCAATCATGGAAAACCTGGAGGCCTATACAGACAGGCTGTGAGGAGGCGGTCATGTGGTTGGGTTTACAACCAATGAGAAGGCAGGACAAGGAACTCTATATAAAGACTTTAACACAGGGGTAGCTCTGGTTCGGAGAGGTAGGACCACCGCAGGAGGAAGGGTAAGGTTTTAGCTCTTAGCTCTGACCTCTTGGCTTTCTTCTTTGCATTGGTTCTGTGTTTATTATTTAATAAGAAGGTTGGATACATCTACAATCCTGGAACTTGATTTGTAGACCAGGCTGGTCTCGAGCTCAGACCAAGTTCTAGGATTAAAGGCATGAACCAATATGCACATCCTACCCCTTCCCCTGGCTAGAAATCTACATTTTATAAAATACTTAAGTGTTTCACATTATGCTGTAGATGAAAAGAATACTAACAACTGGTGCTTTGTACTATTCGGAGAACCACATGGGCTGATCTACAGGCCCTTGGAGAGAGACCTGTTAAGAACCACCATTTTCTCTACAGATGCTCTGGATGGAGGTTAGGCATATCACAATCAGATGCTTAGTAGGAGAGCACTAGACAAGCTCCTTATTGCAGTGTGAATACAGAAGACTGCTGCAGGAGAATTGTTTGCACTGCCGTCCCACAGTTGTGCCAATAAAACCACCTTGAATCAAGGAGGGAGGTAGTGGTGGGCTGAGCGGGGATTAGTTAGAGAGTTGTTGGGAAAAGTGAGGAAGTCAAGTAAAGAGTGACAGGAAGGGGGGAGGTTTCCAGGGCTTTGGGATGGAAAAACGTGAATAAGGTTAAGTGATTGCCCCTCCACTGTTCCTTGGATTTATCAGGTTTCTTTCTCAATTTCTAGCTCCCAAGTTTTTATTAACACTAGAACAATTTAGGTTAAAGCTTTATCTGGTGCCCAACACATGGCCTTAGATCACAACTAGGTGGTGAAGCAGCCACAATTGCACCAGCCCACAGTCACCCACTGCTAGCTGGCTCTGTCCTTCAGGCTGTGCAGTGCACTGCCATAGCTTGGCCCCTCATCCCCACTGTCCCATGAGCTGGTGTCTTCTGTTTGGATGTGACCCTCCAGTGGCAGATAGCCTGGTTCCCTCCCACATTGCTTCCCAGCCTAGCAGGTTTCTCCTAGGGCTCACCACCCTCCCCTCCAGCACTGTTCATGAGCAGCCAAAATGGCCCCAAGCCCATGTGAGCAATTAGCATGGCTTTGGGCACCTGCCAAGCCCACCTTCCCTATGGGCACAGCTGAACATCTTCACTGCAGCTGATTAGCCCCCCACCACACCATCATAGTTCTGGCTACACCATCCTGGTGAGACACCTGGGAATTCTTAAAGGGGAAATTAGGGTTTTTGATTTTTATTGTTTGTTTTTTTTAAATAAAGAAAGTGGGGTGGGCGGGAATCTTTCCCATGTTAAGAATAGGAAATGTCACAGTTCAGGGAGTTAAGACCCTGTTTAGTGCTACTATGGATGGCTTGCAAATGCAAAATATAAATGAAGAGATAAGTCACTTAGCTGGGATTGATAAAATACCA